CGCCAACGGCAGATAAGGCGAACTCGAACCAGCTCCGATACCAAATTGCAAGGAATATGAGTGAGAGCAATATACAGAAAACCAAGTTGCAAAATCACGCAGAAGTCCAGATAGTCATGTAACAAGCAGAGAGCTCAAGTGCACCAAGGTTCCATCCCAATAAAGAGCAAAACAGTGAACTCGTGAGCCAATGTCCAAGCCCTCTGACCACACCAATGCAGTATTCAATGTCGCTCCTACTGTCTGGCGCCCAGCACCGAGCCTACTCTACTTGTCCTATCTATCCTATCTACGTTCTTGCAACAGGCACACTTCGACTTCGAAGACCAATGTACATGACAACAACACCAATGCCGACCTCCCACATACACCAGGTACTTACTCTCGACTCCCATCATCACCCTTGTCCACCCAAACCTGCGCCACCTCCTGAAGACCACCGTCGCCTCCACCTGCCCTCGCGTCCTGCAGCCCGTCTATGGCCGCTAGCGCCCCACTGCCCTGCAGCGCCCCTCACCACTCAGCGCTTGCGCGTGCCCCAACCAGCGCTAGCACAATGCAGACACTTGCGCTGAATCGCAGCAGCGTGTCAGCATTGCCTGCCTAGGCCAGAATGCCAGAGCCTGGCTGGCCTCCTCCCTATATGGGAGATGTTGCTGCTCCTGGCCTCTCCGGGCCTGGCCGTGGAAGCTTCCAGTAAGTCGGGCCCCAGTATCTGCCCCAGGCCCATCTTTACAGTTGAGGGCCTGGGCCCTTTTCAGTTGGGCAAACCCAGGATTATCCAGGCTCCGAATGTTTCCTGTGTTTTTATTGGCATGTGGGATAGATGTGACGACAATGCTGTATTCTCATTGGCCCGTGGCCAATTCGTGATGTGTTGGCCTCACACTGCATGTGTCCAGGGCGCAACCACCTGCGTCCTGGGCTTAGCTGCTCGACGCAGCTGCTGCTTCTGGAAGAGCCCAGGGTGAGGCCCAGGTTGCACTTCAACCAACTGCCATGCTGCAACTGTCTGAGACCCATATTGGACATGCTGAGATTCAGGCACGCCTTCACTTAGGGCGGGCACGAGGCTTGCTGGGGGCCACAGTCAGAACATATGCATGTTGTCTAGGGGGCCCTGGGGACACATTCCTCACACCAGTCGAAAGGCCAGGGAGGATTTATTTTTTTCTGAGCTTTGCCAAAATTTATACGTTCCTCCACAGCGCCACACTCTACAAGAAAGTTATGGGTTCAGGTTTTAGCTCGTGGAGTCAGAGCAACAAGAAAGTTATGGGTTCAGGTTTTAGCTCGTGCAGTCAGAGCACTTTCCGTTTGATTTTTTCATATACAGTGGGTCATCAGTTCAGAAGTATTTCGCCTGGTAATCTGTCCAGAATCCAGATACATGTAGTGGAGCGAGGTCCATTATTGGGCTTGCACCTCGGAGAACATTGATGCTCTACACTTCATGAGCCGAAATCCAAACCCATAACTTTCTTTTGTGGGGCATTGGGATGTGCTAGAAACATACAGCTAGGCAAAGCCCACCCTCGCAGAATTGTATCAATTGCAGTCTCGCGCCTGATAAGGCTGAGTATCTGACCAGTACGGTCTGGTCAGTGGTCCATCGGACCATATAATACTAAATCGGTTCCCCTATGGGAATCCAAAAAGAATCTTCACCCTTCATAAAAATTGGGGACCTGTAGAGGGGGTCTACTTCCACTGTCTAATTTTGTAGCAGCGGCAGAGACCTCCGCGAGGCCACAGGAATAGGGCACGCCACTTTCGTGCACAAATTTTGCCCCCACTGCCCCCAGCCAAAATGAGCTAGCGGCAACTGGCAGCCGACCGGGATGGCCGACCGCCCGGTCCAACCGGGAGACTGCTGGTCAGGGGAGGGCTCCCCGGTCCATCCAGGGACCAGCACTGGTTATGGTGCAACTGAAAGGCTTTTTTTGTTTTTGTTGATCTTAGATTTCTGGCATTATATTATAGTGGACTCCTTCCTGAGCCTTTGAGAACATTTACCTACGGACAAGCTATCGGTACCTTTATTTTATTTTATTTATGGTAAGTCCTAGGTATTCACCACATTGTTGCAGTGGTGTGGTTGCAATCATCTAGCACAGCGGCGCACAGATCATTAAGAAAGTGTGAGCTGTTATTAACACATTCTCGTTTGGTAAGTGTGTTCCCTTATGCCCTGCATCGTTTTATAGATTATAATATAGTTGTGCAAGTGTGCTGCTTTTTTTTGTTTTCTTGTGATTGTCGTTTTGGTAAGTGTTCCCTTACGCCCTCCATCCTTTTATAGATTATAACTGTGCTAAATTCTGGGCCGCCCAGCGGCCCAGCCTCCTTCTGGCAGGGGTCCCGGGCGGCCCGGCCGGTTGGGTCCCCCGGTTCGATGCCGGGCGGGCCCAGCGCATTTTTGCGGGGGGGGGGGGGGGAGGCCTGTTTCGACTTTTCTGGGCCTTGGGAGCCTCCCCGCCCCCCCGGGCAAAAATTTTCCGCCACGCGCCCGCTTCAAATTCGAAGAATCGAGCTGCTCCCGCCTCTGCCCAGTGAAGTGGTCGAAGTGATGCCGGCTGCCTGCGCCGAGGTAGTGCTCCCGCCGTCGACGCCCGTCGCTGCCCGCCTTCGCCGAGGTAGTGCTCCCGCCGTCAACGCCCGTTGCTGCCCGCCATCGCCGAGGTGCCTGTCGTCACTGCCGCCACCGCTGCCCGTCGTCACTGCCCGTTTCCCAGCTCGTCCTCGGTGCCCGTCGTCGTCCATACGGTACCGTTGCGCGAAGTGCCACGGCGCTCTCTCTCTCTCTCTCCCTCTCTCTCTCTCCCCTCCTCCTCCTCCTCCTTCGTCATCCTTTTCTTTTTCTTTTTTTTTTTCGTCGACGTATCAAGAAACAGGCAGATCCTTCTCCTCCTCCTCCTCCTCCTCCTCCTCCTCCTCCTCCTCCTCCCTTCGTCTTCTTCTCTCCTCCTTTCTCCTCCTTCTCCTCCTCCTCCTCGTTATTTTTCTTTATCAGTCGAAGTGCCACGTGCCACGTGTCAGGCGAAGTTCCTCCTCCTTTCTCCTCCTCCTCCTCCTCCTCCTCCTCCTCTTCCTCCTCCATCATCTTTTTTTTTTTTTTTCCGTCAACGCACTTCAAAATCGGCAGGTCCTCCTCCTCCTTTCATCTTCTTGTCTCCTCCTCCTCCTCCTCCTCATCTCTCTCCTCCTCCCCCTTCCTTCGTCTCTTCTCCTCCTCCTCGTCCTCCCCCTCCCTTCGTCTTCCTCTCTCCTCCTCCTCCTCTTCCTCCTCCTTCGTCATCTTTTTTTTTCTTTTTTTCCGTCAACGCAACTCAAAATCGGCAGGTCCTCCTCCTCCTCCTCCTCGTCCTCCTTTCATCTTCTTGTCTCCTCCTTTCTCCTCCTCCTCCTCCTCCTCTCTCTCCTCCTCCCCCTCCCTTCGTCTTCTTCTCTTCTCCTCCTCCTTTCTCCTCCTCCTCTCTATTTCATTGGTTTTCTTCAGCAGGCTAAGTGCCACGTGGCAGAAGCAGTGTGAATAGAACTGCCACATGTCCAGAGCTCTCTCTCTCTCTCTCTCCTCCTCCTCCTTCGTCATCTTTTTTTTTTTTTTTTTTCCGTCAACGCAACTCAAAATCGGCAGGTTCTCCTCCTCCTCCTCTCTCTCCGCCTCCCCCTCCCATCGTCTTCCTCTCCTCCTCCTCCTCCCCCTCCCTTCGTCTTCTCGCCACCTTCTCCTCCTCCTTTCTCCTCCTCCCTAAGTCTTCTTCTTCTTCTTCTTCTTCTTCCGATATTTGAACTTGGTTTTTCCCTCGCTGGTTGTCCTTGCATCCTCTACTTCCACGACACTATGGCGGGCGGTGCCAGCGACATTGGAGGGGGGAGTGGCGGGTCTGGACGGAGGAGGGGCAAAACAGCAGCAGAAAAAGGAAAAGAAAAAGTTGCAAGCACCTCTGCTACAACACAACCTTTTACCCCCTGGGATGTTTTTTGGCTCGTCTGGTTTTGCCGGACGGACCCCCCCCCGTTCGTCTGGCCCGGTCCGTCTGGGCCGGACGTCGGCTTAACCCAGGATTATAATATATTTGTGCAAGTGTGCCACTCTGGCGGCAGACAGGTGCTTGGGCACTTGCCGCTTAACCACACAAACATAGCCAACCTTGCATCTTCTACTGTACTGTCTATCTATACTTTTGTTTTATGGATGGTTTGTGATGATTCGTGGATGGAATGAGAGGTCGAATTTGGGGGGGTTTAAAACGCACGCGCGCACACACGCACGCACGCGCACACACACACGCCTGATAATCCCTTGAAAAGCCAATGATACAAACACACGTCCTTGCTAGCTCTCTGTTGAGGCGGGGATAGATGCGGTTAGGATTGAGGTCGCCCGAGTGGTCATTTCAGTGGTTGTCCTTATGTAGTAGGGTGCCAGAGTGTTTCATGGCTGTGACCAGTTTCCCGTACTTGCCAAAATTGTCAGGGGTTTGAACTAGACAATCTGCTAGGAATGCAGGGTTTTGGCATGACAAGAGCCAAATGCATCCCGAGCAGACTACCCGGGTTGAACCTCAGTAAATGTCTGATGAAACAGTTTGTCAAAACACCCTTCTCTTGGGGCCTGGTGTCTAGCGAAACAAGATGTGCACAAACAAATAGAAACACATACTCCACACTTCTTACGTTCACTGAAACATACATTTTAGACTAGCTGCCAAGTTGTTAACCACCAGTCAAATGCATCCTGGGCAGACTGCCCGCTTTGAGCCTCCTGATGATTCATGATGGCCAACTTTCTCTCATGGAGTTGTGTTGAGTGAAAACACACACACACACACACACACACACACACACACACACACACACACACACACACACNACACACACACACACACACACACACACACACACACACACACACACACACACACACACACACACACTCCTCATGTTCACTCAAATACACACAGACACTCTCCTCATGTTCACTCAAATTCGCTTACGGGGCAAGAGCCGCGAAGCGTGCACTGAGCTTAAGTAGCGACACCAAGGCATATCCCTTCGTCGCATTGCTTGATCGCACATCCTTGAGCACGTTCTCCAATGTATCCACAATATCTGACTCTGTCACCTACAAGGGGCCAAATAAATTCACCCACCCACCTTCGTTAGAAGAATAAACAACACAGGCATCTGCCTGACCATCATGGAGAAACACAGGTTTTCGCCTGCTGCAGCTGCGCCTTCAGGCATGGAAAATTGTAAGTACGTGAAGAAGGGAGGGGTGGCGAGAACGCAAAAGGGAAAGAAAGGCTCTGAGCACATATGTGAATATAAGCACATGATGGAAATGATATTCACATTTGGAAAGGAGAGTGAAAGTAACTAGTTTGCAACAACGAGATTCTAGTTCAACACACATTTTACATTTCACGAGTGGCAGTGTGCTTCTGGTTTTCTTTGAGTGACGGCATGATTATACCTTGTTACCTCTGATATCCTTGACAGCTGAGGTTGAGTGACTAGAGAGAAAACGACATGCCCTCTCTTCAATAGATGTCGAACTGGTTGACAACAGAGGAGATGTTTTTCCTTGAAGCTTTCTTAATTATTAGGACCTTCCACTCATTTTCGTTCTTCCCACTCAATATTGCTCGCATTGTGGTCAGTTGCTACTTATCCTCTTCCTGAGGTTCTTTTGGATTCATCCTCTTCCTTGTCCTCGCCCTAGTTCTCTTGGGCCTCCCCTGACTTTACCGCGAATATGCTCGCAATTCATGCTCCATAAACCTCCTCTGATACCCGCTTGCTTCAGTGTCATTTTTTTCCTTACATGAGATCCATTGCAGTCTCTAGAATAGCGCACAACACCACTTGGGCCTTCAAATTATCTTATAACACTGACCCACCTAATCTTCCGTTAAAGCCCCATGACGACAGCCTCGTTTGAAGACAACTCGCACTCACCGTCGTTGGCTCTTCCCCTTCCAGTTCCCCCGCACCACACACAAGCATTTCACCATATTCTCCAAGCGCCCACATCGTTACATTTGCTAAGCTCTCCTGCAAACAATTCAAGCACGTCAATGCAGGCCAATGCAGGTCAGTCAGACATCCATCTCCTGCAGGACAAAAACGGACAAGTCAAGAACATAAAGACAAAGCCATTCACTGGAATCAACTTGCTGCCTGCTTTTTGCTGGAGGGAAACCCACGGAGTGACGACAAAAGTAGCGAGCAAAATTGACCTGAGCAAGGAAGGGGAACGGGGACAGGAATAAAAAATCATAGGATTGCAGAGGGTCAGGGAGTGAGTAGTACCTGCCCCTTGTATGCCGTTTGAAATGCACGATACAGGGATCGCACCGTGTAGCCTTGAAGTTCAGGAGCATTCATAATGAGCACCACAAGAGATCGGCAAACCTCATCTTTCACATATGGCCCGGCCTGATCATTCACACATTCATCAAGAACTGGAGTCAGATAGCTTGCTCACAAATCATGAAAACGCAATGATATCATCATATGCATGAAAATGAAAACATGAGGGTGAGATCATTTTCCCTCAAAGCACCTGCAGTAATCAATGCCACCAAACTTCCAACTATTGACCGAAGTGAAAGTGTCGGATGCCAAATATCTACACGTGTATGTATACGAAGACGTGAGTTATACTGAATACTCAGTAAGTTATAGACCACTTCAAATCTATCTTTTCAAGAAGGATAATCAACTCCACAAATATCGATTAAAACTCGAAATCTTGTGTTCATCTGAGTGGGGAACCGGGCCGCCCGGGTGACAGGCCGTGGCCCGGGGGAGGTCCCGGGCGGCCTGGCCGGGCAGGGCACCCGGTTGGGGGCCGGGACCCCCAGCGCAGTCACCTCCCGGGGGGTTTCAGACCCCCTTGTGGCTGCTGCTGGCCTCCTGCAGGCCTACCGGGTCCAACCGGCCCAAAAAACCTCGGCGCCGGGCCCGGTTGGCCTGCTTTGTTTTCCGAATTTTTCGTTGGCACAGAGCCGTGGGGTCTTGGCGCCAAACTCCCTCTCCCCCCTTCAAACCTTCGATCGGTTGGGGTGGGCTGCCACTCGCCCCTCAGCATGATCCCAGTTGCCGACCTCCTCCTGCTGCACCGTCGCCCGTCGCCTGTCGCCATCGCCATCAGGTGTGCAGCTGCTGCTGCTCCGACGAAGGCCCCGACTGTCCTGCCGCTGCTGCTACAACGAAGGCCCCGACTGTCCTGCTGCTGCTGCTACGACGAAGGCCTCGACCACGAAGGAGCCGTTCTTCTTCTTCTTCTTCTTCTTCTTCTTCTTCTTTGTGCCCGTCGCCCATCGCCCATCGCCCGTCGCCCGTCGCCATCGCCATCGCCATCAGCTGTGAAAGGAAGGCCCCGACTGTCCTGCCGCTGCTGCTACGACAAAGGCCCCGACTGTCCTGCTGCTGCTGCTACGACGAAGGCCCTCGTGCTACAACGAAGGCACCGTTCTTCTTCTTCTTCTTCTTCTTCTTCTTCTTCTTCTTCTTCTTCTTCTAGTTCGTTGACATTCGGTAGGTGACGTGAGACACGACAGGTTACGAAAAAAAAAAAAAAAACACGACCGTCCTCCTCCCCCTACTCCGCTCATCTTCTTCTTCTCCTTCTTTTCTCCTCGTCGTCATCTCGTGTTCCACTTCTTCCCCTCCTCCCCCTCGCGTTTTCATCTTTCCCCTCTATCTTTCTTGATCTTCTTCTTCTTCCCCTCCTCACCTCTCTTCTTCTTCTTCTTCTTCTTCTCCCCTCATTAGGTCTTCTTCTCTCCTCGTCTTCTTCTTCCCCTCCTTCCCTACTCCTCCCTGCCTTTCTCCATACCCT